TCCCGCCCCCCCCGTCAAGTCTCCACCTCTGGCCAACGGAGGGCCCGTGCCTACATTGCTCTTGCTAGCAGCAGACAGACGGAATAAAGTTAACACGCAGAACATACAAGATCCAAACATCCGGACATGAAGCGTGTCTTGCATCACGCGTCAGACACTACGGGTGTGTCCCGCTGGAAAGAAAAGGTTGATTCCTTCGCGCAAGATAACAGATCAGAAAACCCTAAAAAAAAAGACCGTACACACATGTAAATCGCCCGCCCGCCCTCCCGCCCGCCACCCGCTAGAGAAAGCGGCAGCACCGCATACACCAAAAAAGGGTAGGGCCATGCAGCAAGCGTTGTTCCTGCATGTCCCCAAAACCGTGGTACAATCAACAACAACCGCTTGACGATCAAGGCCATTCTGTTATCCGAGGCTCCGAGAAAGGCCGCTCGCTCGCAGGCTCGCTGACTGAAATAAGGCCATCATCTAGTCACACACAAAAGAGGCGACGACTAGGTATTATGGCCAAACAACCCACGTGAAGATGTATTATTAATTTGCGTTTAACCTAAAATTCACACCCAGAACGATACAAGTAGTTTCGAGTAAAATATCTCCGTGCAACGACGTCATAAAAAAATACAAAACGCCTAGCGTACGTCTCTCGACCGTACGGTTTCTGATTATTTGCTTCAGAACCCCCAGCTGTGCGCGCGACAAATTACCCAACGGCTACACCCCACTCTCTTGAATGACTCCCTCCATCGCGTGCCCAGTGTCACAGGCCAAGGGGAGGGGGGGGGGGATTGCAGGGGGGTAGAATGGGGCACAGGTAACGATATGTAATCCTGTCCAATCCCTCCGACCCAACCCGAACGCTTGACTGAAACTGCACCTCGTACTCGCATGGTACGGACCTCCGCCATGCCTTCTCTCGACAAAACCAGAAAAACCAGACATCCGAGTACCACAGGGAAAAAACACAAGACCGCCATAAATGAAAAAAAAAAACACCAAACGATATATCTCGTCACACAAACGAAGCGGTTGCTTTTAACAACTGCGGATAGATGCGTGCATGAAACATCTGCCCTCCATATGCCGCGTAGCGCCACTCTTAGGCCAACAGACGCCGCCCGCGAAGCATTGCGACTACAATCGCGGGGCAGCTTAAAAGGGGTCAAACTCGAGACAGCAAGCACGCATCCCGACGATGGATAAGTTTTCTACAACAATTTAGGTAAGAGAGGAATGAGAGAAGAAACACATGAGACCCAATCACTCTTTTGGTCATAGTCAATTCCATCGATCCCATCCATCCATCTACACAAAATGACTTCCAACACCCCACCCCCACCTCCCCCTCCCAAGGAAAAAAAAGAAAAAACAAATAAGACACCCATGATGACAAAATGGTACCCGAGGCAAAGGGAGTGAGGAGGCGAGCCAAAACGAAAAAATATACGAAGCCCTCCATCCAACACGCACGACCGAAAACGAACTTATCCTCCCTCATTTCTCAAAAACAACGTAAACATTTTGCGGGATGGCATTCAAACACTACTACAGGCGCTCGGGCTCTTCGCCGATCGGGAACGTCAAAGGGTTCCCGCGTATTCTTCTTTCTCCAAAACCGTAAAAAACCCAACACTCCTCTCATCGATGTTCCAGTGTATTTTCCCAACCCCTATTTTGTAGATCGCCGCAATGCTTCCCATGTGGGGAGGCAGGCGTTGCGGATAGCTTGTACGAACCGTCCAATACTATCGCACTCGCGCCCGCCCCCAGGGGACGGGGGGACAAACAGGGAGGGGAGGGGGGGACAAACATGATCACACTTCTATAATTTCCCGTTAAAAACAAAATAAGACCACCACAACCACAACGACGACGATGACTCCGAAAAACAGCCACCCCGCGCGTGTTTTTATATCTCTACCACTCTCATTTTAGGGGGGTAGCATAACCACCTTCTCTTTCTCCTACCCATTTCTCCTCCTCCTCCTCCACATCATTTCCATGTTGCAGTATTGTCCTCCTTTTTCGGCTTCAGCCGTCCCAGGATGATGACTTCAAACGGCCGGGGCGTGGTTCGCCCCCGCCGCCGCGCGGGCGCCCACGGCGTTCAGGATCTTCAGCCTAGGGCCCTTAGGGATCCCGATGTCAGCCAGGTCGCTCTCGCTCATCAGGCCCAGGGCCTCGAGGTCCACCTCGTTCTCCGCGAACTTGGGACAGTACTTCCCGAGCCCCATCGTCTGGAGAACCTTCCCCAGGCGCGCGACCTTGTCCGAGATGTCCTCCCCACCGCCGCCCGCCGCCGCCGCCGCCGCCGCCGCCGATCCCTCCTGCTCCTCTTCGCTGTCGGACCCCTGCCCCTCTAGCGCGCTGAGCACCTGGGCCTCAGGCACCGGCAGCCCGGCCATCCTGCGGGAGGCCTCGTCGTCGGCCGTGGACGACGGCGACGGCGGGGGCGCAAGCGATCCCGCTGGCTTGCCGCCGCCGCCATTGCTGCCGCCGCCGCCGCCGCTGTTGCCGTCGGCGGCGCTGGCGGGAGACAGCAGCCCCGAGCCCTTGAGGACCGCAAGGTCGCCCGCGGAGGCGGCGGAGGCGCCCCCGGCGCCGCCGACGAGGGCGCGGAGGCCCTCGGGGAAGTGGACGCGCGGGGTGGTGCGGGCGGTGGTCGGGGTGCTGGAGCGCGAGGTGGACGACTCTCCCTCCTGGAGGGCGGCCATGCCGATGCCGAAGCCGCCGGAGAAGAGGGACCAGTCGCCGAGAGGCGTGGACGCTGTGCCGGACAGGGCGGGGCTAGTGTTGTAAGACCCTACCACGCGCGGGGAGCCCGCGGTGGAGCTCACGGGGGTGCGCGCGCCGATGGACCCGAGGGACACCGTCTCGATCTCGGAGTCGTCCGTGTCGGAGCCCACCCCGCGCCCATGGTTGTGGTGGTGGTGACGCTGGAGCGGCTGGTGCGAGTGCTCCGGCTTGAGCTCCAGCTGCTGCTGCTCCTGCTGCCACGTGGCCAGGTGGTCGAACTCGGCGGTGTCGCGTGTAAGGTGGTAGTCGGGGCCGGCGAGGTGGTGGAAGTTCGGATCGCCGTGGGAGCTGCCGCCGGCACCACCGGCCGTGGAGGAGAGCATCAGGTGGTGCATCCCCGCCGCCGCCGCGGCCACCGCGCCGCTGACGAGAGGAGACCGCATGTCACCGCCTCCGCCTCCGCCTCCGCCTCCGCCTCCGCCGCCGCGGCCGCTGCTGCTCATGGCGCCATCCGGAAAGTACCCGGCCCGGCCGCCGCCGCCGGCAACGCCGAAGGAGCCGTGGCTGTCGGGGGTGCTGACCCGGAGGCCGAGGCCGTAGCTTCCGTGGACGGCGTTGTGGATCATGGCCTGGACGCTCTCGTAGGCGAGGTCGACGGAGCGGTGGTCCCCGCGCACGATGATGC